ATGTAGATAAAAGGATTTAAGATTTTCGTCGGTGTGGCAATCAGCCGTTTAGCTTAGTGGCTAGAGCGTCAGGCCGCGAATGCCGAAGACGTGGGTTCGATTCCCACAGCGGCGACAATCTTTTCGTACTTTTTCTACAAATTTAATGTTCAATCTTAAGTGCAGAAATTAGCACTATAGAAAATTCAAAGACATGTATTAAATTATAGCCTGTCTTATTCTGATGTATAAGCTAGATTATTTTTAAAGTTTTATTAAAATCCATTCAGTAGTACTTGCGTGAAAAAGTAACAAACATCCATCCATACATACAAACAGTCGCGTTTATAATATTAGTAAGGTAAGGATTGTTTCATTTTACATTATGATATTTGATACGGTAAGAGATAGCAGTCTATAGATTAGCTGCATTCTACTTACACCAATTGGCATAATTTGAGTGCCTCAGTTTCGGTGCGCTAAAGTCGTATCTACCTCTTATACATCTTGTTACAATCATTTTAATTCGGCCCACCATTAATAAGAATTTCAGTTAGTAAAAAAACAGTGAATATTTCCTGTATTTCCTGATATCACTTTTGAAAGTTAAATAAAAGCATTTAACGTTTAAGAAATATTTTATTACAAAAAGGAACAAGCGTCATTCAACAGGATTTTGAACTACTATTAAAATAAAGTCTTTATCTGGAGCAATTAAAACTTCACTCTTTTTACTTCTTATGCGCAAAAACGTCAAATCATTCGATGGATCAAGATCTCTAACAACAGCTTTAGCTTTGTCCACAAGGGCTGTCATTAGGCCTGCATATTGCACAGAGATATGCCCATCCAAAGTTGTCTTAATCGGTATACCTTCGCCATTAACGACAATTACACCCGCAACTCCTTTGTGTAATGAAAGTCTGCGAACCGTTTCTTCTGCTTCGTTCGCCATTACTATGGTATTAAATAAGAATAAAACAAAGACCAATTCACCACATAGTATTTCGGAATGACAGTTGACAAGATATGATCGAATTCGTATTATTTTTAAATTTAACATTACGGAAACTTTATAGTATCGCTCTACCTGCCTTTCTTGCTTTCGTACATAGCGTAAATAATCTATTTAATAATATCCTAAATCACAATTTGGACCTTTCCTGTGCTTATTCTTGAATATGTATCTGCTCCAACAAAGTTTTTCCACTGAAATTCAGTCAACAAAAGCAGTGGGATATTCGTTAGAAATAAAATCGTCCCGCTGAATTTCTTCGCTGGTTCCTTTCTGCTGGTCCATTGACCTGCTTGGGAAAGATAAACCATTGTTTTTTATTCCCAAGCAGGTAGTAAATAGTAGAATTTTGACAAGATAGTCTAAAAAGTGTTGGTCACTTTTCCTGCCATGGTTTCCTGAACGACGGCATCTGTAGGGCTCTTGTTTCAACGTTCCTTCTATTTTAGAGCCCTGTGGCATTTTCCGCGACAATAGCAAGAGTGGAACAGAGGCAATGCCTTCGTGTGAGATGCTGTTTGTGTAGACACTTTGGCTGCCTCTTATGTTAAAACACAAACAACGCAACGCCTCACGTGTTGCGTCGCGGTGTCGCAACGGATCAACGCATTGTATGCCACAACTGCGCGCCGAAAGTTGGGGAAGAAAGGTTCTCGAGTGGCAGCCTCGTACTGGCCATCGCAGTGTAGGACGACCCCCCACTAGATGGAGTGACGACCTGTGCAAATGTGCGGGAAGTCGATGGATGCAGGTGGCTCAGGATCGTACTTCGTGGCAGTCTATGGGGGAGGCCTATGTTCAGCAGTGGACTCAAACAGGCTGAAATGATGATGATGATGATATATATATATAGACATCATAATTTTTTGTTCGTTAAAGTAATAAAAAGATGAAAACAATTTTATAATAGACATATATAGCTTTAAACCTCCATTATTAACAAATAAAATAAATTAAAATGGAGGATAGTGACATAATATGTCATAGGACATAAATACACAGTGACAGTGGCTGAAAATTCAAAACTATTGTGTTCTTTATCTATTACAAAAAAAAATCCTTCCTATTGTGTAGTGTTTATTTATTATTTTTTGAACTTTGAATATGACTGTATTAGTTTGTATTTGTAAATAAATCAGACAATTTATTGCAGTTACTTTATTATGTAAAAGTTATACTAAGCATATACCCCAAAAATTATCATCAATGATTTGTTGTTTACTATCTTGTCTAAAACTAATTCAATCGTTTTAAATTGCATCTATACTACGATAATGGTTGGTTCGCTATTGATTTGGAAACTGATTCATTGCAAACGTTTGAAAAAGAAGAAATCTTTTAATCCCCTTGAAGATGTGAAAAATGTAAACCCCAGATCCGTTGAAGAGATTACGATTAAGAAAGAATGTAAAGAATTTGACGAAAATTACACCTGCCGAGTCTGCCTTAAGTATGGTGATATTCCAATATATGATAATAATAGTTTAGAAGACATCTCAGAAGCCCTAAACACATTTGGTGGAATAGAAGTTAAGTTTGAAGATGAGTATCCTAAATATCTGTGTCAATCATGTCATGCACTTTTACAAGGCGCAATTTTGTTTAGAAGGACTGCTCAAGAATCAGAACAGATACTTCGCCAACCCCAAGAACCCATATCAGATAATGAGAACAGTTTTAATCAGGACATTGAAGCACCATTTAATTCCATGGAAAAGGATATTAATGATAAAATATTCTACTGTAAGAAATGTGAAGTAGAATTTGATACCTTTGAAGCATACAGTAATCACCGGCTCTCAGAGGAGCATGAAAATCAAAGACACACATGTCCAATATGCAAAAATACATATAGTTCATTATACTTTAAAAAACACATGGCGCTACATACATTAGAATCATCCTATGTATGCGATATTTGTGGTAAGAAATTTATTGTAAAAGGCCAATTTACTCGGCACAGATTCACACATTTCCATAATTTCCCATTCAAGTGTTCTTTATGTCCTTACAAGGGTAGGTTCAAAGAATCGTTGAAAATGCATATGCGGACACATACTGGAGAGAAACCATATAAATGTTTACATTGTGCATCCAGATTTGTAAGTAAAAGTAACCTAAATAAGCATATGCTAACTCATAAGGGTCGCTTTGACTTTAAATGTGAAACTTGTGGTAGAGGATTTTACACCAAAAAAGCTCTTGATCAACACTTCCAAGTGGATCACACAGGCATAAAAGCTCATGTTTGCAATATTTGTGGCAAGGCATTTGGTTACCGAAAACAAATGATGAAACACCAATTGAAAGTTCACAAAAGGGAAAAATTCAAAAGCGGTAGAAGGCCGCTGTATCTGGAGACAGAGACTAAAAAGTAACAAACTATATAATAATGGTACTTATGTATTCATCATTATGGTAGTCATTGTAACGGTACTAGGAAAAAGATAAACAATTGGAAACTGATTTTTTATAAGATATAATGAATTACAGTTTAATAAAAATAGATATTATGTTTAGAACCCTTCTTTTAAATCTTGTAGATTTATGAGATTGCCAATGAAACAATGTATATAAAACAAAATAAATTGCTACAAACTTCAAAGGACAATAACCATATCTGTTCTAAAAATGTCCATAAAATTAACATTTTTCAGTAACCTTAGTTTAAAATTGAGTTTTGGTTATTGACAAAAATATAAGGTTTTTGAAGGAAAACATCGTTTGCTGCTGAATATCCAAAAAAATTCTGGTAGGGCCATGCAAGGTTTTGGTGTAGCACCATGACAACTGGTGAGTGAGGTAGCCAAGACCCACTTTATTAAATGGTGGCAATAGATCTGCAACCCTTGGGGTGTTGCGAATGACGATGCGCGGCAGTTACCACCTTTTCATATAAAAATAGAATCTTAAGAATAATTAAGCTTCAACATAATACACCTCGTAGAACCAATAACCTTTGGGGAATAAAGATTCTCTAGTGGCAGCCTCATACTATCCATTGCAGTGTGGAACGACCCCCCACTAGATGGAGTGACGACCTGTGCAAATGTGTGGGAAGTCGATGAATGCAGGTGGCTCAGGATAACACCTCGAGGCAGCTGTGGGGGAGGCCCATGTTCAGCAGTGAACTCAAACAGACTGAAATGATGATAATGCACCTACCTAAACTTTACCACCCGAAGGTTGATGGGCAGATAAATTGCCGATAATTGCCCGTTGACGGCATTAAGTCCGCAATTGTACATTAAGAATAAATAAAACAAAAAATGTATAAGTAGATTTTCTTCTTTAAAATGTTAATATCTAGTTTTTGGATAGGTTTAGTCATGCCCTGATATGAAAGTGGGCATCATCCTGTATTTTGTAACTGTGGTAGGACCATGAAACAGTATTTGCTGTTGCACGAATGGGCAGGTCCGTCGTGCTAGTACCCCGACCTCACAGAAGGCCGGCGTAAAGTTGAAGTTACACTTCTGCGTTTCGTTTCTCGAGTGAGGTAGCCGGGGCCCACATTATTAAAAAGTAGCAAAACTTCTGCAACCACTAGTGCAACATATGCCCTTAGGCGGCAGTTCTCACATAAAAAAATTGTGAATTTTTTAAAAATTGTGAATTTTTTAAAAATTGTGAATTTTTTTAAAAATTGTGAATTTTTTATCAAGTTGTGTCAACTTTTTCTTATTAATAAGTATTATTAACACTTCATAATAAATAGAGAGTACATATTAATTTTTCAATGAGTTAACTTTTTTCAATAAATGGCCCATAACAATAAATAACTTTGAGCTTGTTATAAACTGCATATATTTGAATATACAGTTATCTATTTATTACTGCTTTAATGCTTATATATTTTACAGTGTTAGAATAGTAAACTAAACTACTTAAAATTAATAAAAATAAAAACCAAGTGTAATATTTTTTTCAAGATATATTTCATATCACATTATCCTTTCAACTATATTGGTACCAAGTTGAAATATTCAAAAACAAGGGATGATTATGCCCAACCACCATAGTTCCCCGTGATTGGGTAGTTGCTAAAACTGCCCCCATTGCCGTAACCCCTGTTGTTGTTGAATCCACCTCTGTTTCCACGTCTTGGGCCTCTGCCACCTCTGAAACCGCCTCCGCTACCAAAACTGCCGCCATTACTCCCGAAGCCACCTTCATTGCTGAATGCGTTTCCGCCACCATCGACACCGGTGTCAGACACGTCATTTCCGTATCTCCTGTAGCCGCCAGCTTGATTGCCGAAGCCGTCTTGGCTGTTAAAACCGCCAACGTTACCGAAGCCGCCTCTGCTTCCAAAGCCGCCACTGTTTCCGAATCCACCCCTACTTCCAAAACCGCCACTGTTTCCGAACCCACCTCTATTTGGCGGACCTCCTCTATTTCCGAACGCTCCCCTGTTTCCAAACCCACTCTGGGCTCCAAAAGTGCTTCCAAAGTTTCCTCTATTACTATTGTTGGAAAACCAACCTCTACCCCTTTTAGCTCCATCCATCCTAAAGGTAGGCGTGCTGACATCCCGTATAATGTTATAATCTCCAGCATCGAAAACGCATAACTCCTTAAGGCAATGCAATACCTAAAAAGTAAGATTTTAATAATTATAGTTTCAACATAACAATAACACATTACAATAAAAAATTCCAATCATTAATAGACACCCTCCAGGATATATATCCTAACAAGTCATAATGTTGTTTGTGGTCATATCCGTTACTTTTTGCAGATGTTGAAGAGATTTTTTATCATATAACATTTCAATAAGTATATAAATATACTAGTGGACCCAGCAAACATTATTTTGCCATATAAATTATTGAGTAGAAAAAAATGTTTGGGGTAGACCATCCTAATCACTTAGGGGTATAAAAATTAGTTTTAAACCTAATCCTGTAACTACTTAATAAACATGAAATTTCATCAAAATCGGTCAAACCATTTCGGAGGAGTATAAACACACATGTGATATGAATTTTATATACTAGATCAAGGATGAGCAACACAAGCATTTCTAAAATTGAATTTATTTTATCGAATTTCTCCCATCGATATATTGTTATAAAATTAATTATAATAAAATGGTAGTACATACTGAGTCGAAACATTTTTTGTTCGTTTTTCTGTTCTTTTGTTGTTTGTTTTTACCTTGCATTAAAATTTGTATATGAAATATTAACTTTTTTAAATGTTGTATTTTTTTATTCTAATATTTATTATAAATAAATATTATGTGCGGCCCGCCAAAAAATTTGAAATTTAAATTGGCCCATTGATTAAAATTCAGATCTGTATAATATGCTGATATTCATTTTTAATGATACGGCAAATAACTAATAGTGAGCGAACATCTTTAAAATCTACATTCCATTTGCAGTTGCTAGTTTTAGGCGTCAACACCCAGATCCAAAACAACTATCTGCAGATCACACATATAGTGGTCTCACGTGGGAATCGAACCCAAGACCTAGTTAAGACCTAGTAGCTACGAAGTCATTATTCGCATTACACACATTAATACATCCTTAAATGCATAGACAACTATTTCAAGAGGGTTAGAAACCTTGTTCTCAACCCCAGAGAAGTGCAGTGCTGCATCGGGCTCTGCAGCAGCCCGCTCCACCAGCTTCTCTATGGCCGGCCGAAGTGCGACCACTAGAGCCGCCGTGCGTGGAGACATCTCAAAGTTCAGCCAGTTGTCCAGACGGACCACATTGTCCACCTGAAACAGACGAATTGAAATGAATTCGGATTATTTTTAACTCTAATGACTCAATATTAGTGGCTAGACTTAAATACTTAAAAATAAGAGAGCAATAGGAAGTTTTATTTGTTAAACATTTGGCCCTTATCTAAAAAAATTCTGATATCTTCAGTCAATGTAAAGTTATTAAAGGTTTACAAAACAAGGATTTTTATAAGCACTACATCTCCAGTGACGTGTGTCTTCTTGCCGTGGGTACGTAATAATTGCCATACATCTGCCTCAACTCTATGTACTATATGTACAAATATACTAGCGAACCGGACAGACGTTGTCCTGTACACACGACTTAAATTCGACAACTAAGAAATTAAAAAAAAATTGTAGTGCACCACAATTGTGAATCTTAACCATTCTCAAATTAACCTGAAGACAAAAAATTCCATTAAAATCGGTCCAGCCGTTTCGGGAAGAGTTCAGTGACATGTGACATACAACATACACACAAGAATTATACATATAAAGATTATTGCTTCCGACCATTTTATTGTTTTTGCCATAGATGCACATATAGATGATTCCGTGGCGCAGTTGCCAAGGTATTCGCTTCGGCATCGAGGGTCATGGTTTCGATTCCCACACGAGATATTTGTGCGACCCACAGATAGCTGTTTCGCATCTGCGTGTTTGTCCTTGTGCAATTTATGTTTGTAAAACATCCTTACAACACAGGATAATGTTATCCTAAAGTGAGGATTTAAAAAAAAATAAAAAAAAAAAAAAAAAATAAAATAAAAAATAGATAAAATACAAAATAAGGAAAAAAATACAAACATGGGTTGACAGACCGACCATGCTTTAACTTAACAATAAAAAGGCAAATAAAATTACTTGATAATGACAACAAAATTACAGAGGCTGTCAATAAATTGGTCAAAAAATACAATAGCTGTCTTTACTATTTTACCAAAAATACCTCTTTCATAACTAGACGCCCATTTGGGCATCTGCTGACATTACTTGGTAACTGCAATCCCACACTACTAAACGCATAGATTTACAACATCTGTGTTCTATACATCTTATAAGGCTTCATATGACTCCATAGTATATTTGACAAAGAATCACTGGGTATATTGGGAATATAACTTACCCACTCAACCTTCCTGCTGCCGAATAGCAATAAATGCAAGGGCGCCACCATAGTAGTCTGCTTGCAGCTGATCACGCGCGTCCTCACTTTCTCACCAAACACAAATAGAGGCGATGGGAACTTCTGCTCTTGATTGCTGCAGTTCACAGATGTCTTGTGGATTAAGGCCAGTTTGCCTTCTGTAGTCAGAACCTAAAATGTTACATCGATTTTTCAATTAACCTCGAATATAGTTGTAATGCTAAAATATAACAGATGGCAGCTTTCATTTTCAACCGACTTCAAAAAAGAAAGTTTTCAAATTGATTTTTTTTTTACTTTTTATTATTCAAAACTCCGTTATTTATATAGTAGGTTATTTATGCATTAGGTTTGATCATAGACTTAGCATCTAAATCTATGGGTACATTCTAAATCTATGGTTTTGATTTAGCTCCCATGTAGTCCCATATGAATTTCATTAGGAGTCAGTTTTTTTTATAATAAACATGTACTTATTGATTATAGAAGATGGTCATTTTCCTTTCTAACAATGTTCCATCTTAAATAGGCGCAAAAATACACGTTGCCTATATGGGTACACTTTGTTTCCTTAATTCACCTAACAATTTCTATAAGAATAATCTTTATCATGGGAAACTAGTTAGTTATTATTATTGTTTTTTGACAAAATTCAATCTAAACTCCACTAAAATACCTATGTGTCTCGCCCTATTCAGTAGCTACTGTCTATCATATTTAAATTTATATCATATAATCATAATAAAAAAAGAAGTGCTGGTTACACATAGACAAAAGAGTCTGTTCTCTATGTTAAAACACTGGGAGCTTTTTGGGCCAAAAAGACCATATATGACCAACTGATGGTGACTACTGTCATAGGTAGTTAATGAGGAAGCCCGGTAAAAGCCTAATCATTCTTGCCATGGCCTATGTTATTAGAATAGATAGACACTGACAAATTCGTCCATTCCTTTGCTGTATTTGTTATATACATTACTTTATTGGATAGAAAACTTTTATGGATAAAATTGTCAAGACCCCCTTAAACTTTATGTACTGTCATTTTAACAACATCATTAATTTCTTACTTTGTAATACTAGAATTTTAAATAATATTGCAACTTAGTAACTAAGTTAAGGGATTTTACCTTTCGCTTGCCTTGATGTAAACATACATTAGGGTACAATCCCATGCAAAGTAATGCAATCACTTGATCAAGTATTGGATCATTTCCATTAGGGCTCCACCTCTGTGGGATGCAGCACTCCTCAGGAAAGCCGATTACCGTTGTCAAAATGTCTGAAATTATAAACAGAAATTAAATACAGCATTTTATTTTAACATTTAATAATTTGCAAATCTTCTTGTAACTTCCCGAAATTTAGAAAGAAAATGGAGTGTTATGAAAACTATAAAAAAAAAACTGTTACTCCAAACATAACAATGAAAAAACTTTCTCAATATGTCATCTTGGCTATAAGTGCCATGAAATGGAGAAAAATAAGAACGCATAGAAATTGCATAATCTTTTTTTTATTTAGTATTTGTGTTGCTAAATGCATAATCATTAAAATATTGGTCCAATTACCATATTTCTCAAATTATATGCAACTTTTAATGAGAGCTCAATGAAAATTTTCAATGAAAATTTTTACTTAACACCCTGAGTGTTTGTGTGATGCTGTGGTACCTTCATGGATAAGCTTGCCCATTCATGTAAAAGCAAATACTAGTTAAGTAGCAAAGGCAGTACTAGTTAAGTCCAACACTGTAGGCATTTTTACATAGTGAATTGGTTTTATGTTTAAAAGTATCTGCCTATACATGTCCCACAGCTGGGCAAAGGCCACCTCTGTACAGAGGGTATCAGGGCATAGTCCACCATGCGGCCCCACTGCGGATTGGCAGACTTCACATATCTTAGAAATATCTTTTTTTATTATTATGTCAAAAATATGCAGGTTTCCTCTCCAATGTTTTCTTTCACCGTTGAGCACAGGATATATAATTTTAAAATATTATGATTTTGTTATTATACTAACTAGTCAGTTGATTTTTAGCTTCGTTTGTGACCCGCAGTGTGGTTTGTTGGACCCCTTTCCAATCACACCATCTAATTTCTGCGTCATCGCCCTTTGCCCTCTCTCGCTCCCACATCTATGATAAAAATGTATATTTAAAAGTTAACATTGTATAACATGGAACCACTTCAACTACTACATTTATATCAAATGCAACTATTCTATCGCGTTTAAATTATTGTTTTTAATTCTCGACGTTTCGAGCCTTTTCCAGCGTTCAGGCGTCACCATGTGACCATGGATATAAATTAAAACGCGGTAAAATCTGTAAAATACTGTCATTTAATATGTATAATATTCGTGTAAAAACAAGAAATCAATAGCCATTGAATTTATTTTTTTATTATCCGACAGCGCGACGCAAAGGGGAATAATTTATGGAACTAACGCAAGGACCGTATTTGATGGTTCTTACGAATTGTTGTGAATGTCTATCGAATTATTTTAAACTTTTGAGTGGCACCAAAGACTTGATATCAGTCAAAAATCAAAATGGCGACAACCAGACCCCTAATTGTGATTAACGATATTGTTTAAAAGTAAACAAACTGTATAGAAATAATTAATTAAATGGCTGAATTCACATTATTGGTCTAAATAATTAATTAAAATACTGTAAAAATCAGTAAAGACTAGTTTCGTACCTATTGAAGGTCTTCATCAGGGTCCGTTTATTGCATATTGGTCTTTACAATTTAAGGTGTTATGCAGAGGACTTATTTAAATTGATGTTATTGTACAATAAAAACTCGTCTAGGTTCTCTCTTCGAAGATGAGTTTGGTCTGCATACTAACAGAGTATTAATATTGTAATAGTATAAAATGTAAAATAAATAGAGTCAGTGAATTTAATATTATACTAAGGAATAATCCATATTAGTCTTATCTGCTGTATTGAATTCAGTAACTGTTCACACTGGCTATACTAAAGACTTAAGAAACTTAATTATATCTCGGGGAAGAAAGGTTTCATAAGGTTGTTTTCTTGCATACAACAGGACGGGTCCATTACCTGGTATGCATTGAGCATTGCCACGTGGTCAGATGCCCTATCGCCGGCCAGGGCGCGTTGGTGCATGGACAGCCTTCGGCGGCCCTCCACCACGAAGATCTCCGGGAAGGTGGTGGAATTGGCGGCCATTGTGGTCAGCGCGTCCCCCACGCCGAGCAGAAATCCAAGCACCATCATTTTGCCCAGGCGCGGCTCTGGAATGGAAAATTTGCTACATGACCACCTTTAATATAAATCTCGACGCCTTAGTACTTTGTTTTTTTATTAATTTTTAGGATTGCATGGCGTTATTTAACGTGCATCCTTTTCAGCAAGACAATACTTTCTTCAGATGATATTTTCAAAATGATTTAAGAACTAGATATACGAGTAGAGATTTTCGCGGGTTGTGGATGTAGGGCGCTTAGCTTACTGGGTAGAGCGTATGTTCGTAAACCGGAAGGCGCGGTTTCGAATACTGTTCTGTATGGTATGGTGCTGGTCTGACGAAAAGTTCAACGTTGGTTTTATTTACGCACTTTAAACGTTTTTTTTTAATATGAAAAGGTTGCAAGCAAGCTGTCGGTTGATCTGACCGCCGCCCATGGACATTTGCAACACCCGTAGGGTTGCAAATTCGTTGCCACCTTTCATAGAGTGCGCACCGGTTACCTCACTCAAACGGAACGCACAAGTATAACGCTTCCACTTCACGCCGGTCTTACGTGGTACTTGCCCGAACGGAGCTGCCTATTCGTGCGGTGGTAGGACTGTTGCATGGCCCTAAAGACCGTTTCACACCGGTCAAGTGTTTAGTACAGTGGAAAGTCAACTCGCAACTCGCCGCTGTCCGACGGTTTCCACTACTGTACTTGCTCAATGTACTAGTCAATAGGGATGTCGAACAAACCTCGATATATCGATATAAAATCGAAATCGTATCAAAAACGCTTTTTTTTTTCAAATTCCAGGGACAGAGTCCGTACATTTAATTTTTTTTTTTTATTTGGACCTCAGGGCCTAAAATCAAAACGTCGATATGTCGACATTCCCTCTTCTATATATCGAGGCCGATATTGACGTTTTTATAAATATCGATATATTTCTTCGCTTTCGGCATCCCCGCTCGTAACTGCAATAAACACTTGACCAGCGTAAGCCGTTTATAGATAGAGCCGCACCGATCGGCAGCCGGGCGAGGATCGAGCCGAGCGGCGTGAGCGCGTCACTAGCGTCGAGGCAGCCGAGCTCGCGCAGCAGCGCCTCCGCCTCGATGACGGCGTCCAGCGGCGGCGGCTCGGGCGCCTTCGACAGGAAGTGCCCGATGGCGCCCAGCCGGAGCAGCTTGATGCTGCGAACCAGACGATACCATAAAGTAGCAGCCTATACATGTCCCACTGCTGGGCAAAGGCCTTCTCTATACGAAGGGTATCAGGGCCATAGTCCACCACGCGGCCCCACTGCGGATTGGCGGACTTCACATATCTTCGAAAAATATTTTTTTAGTTATTTCGAAAATATGCAGGCTTCCTCATAATGTTTTCCTTCACCGTGGATAAGTCAGCACTTAAAGTTAAAAACTTCATTGGTGCCGGCACCGGGGATCGAACTCAGGTTGCTCGAGTATATTGAATTAAAGGCGAGCGCCCGGACACTGAGCTATCACGGCTCTTAACGATACCATACACAGTGATTTCTTTAGACGAAGTACACACTTTGACATTGCTAATTGATCATTACATAATTCGAAAATAATATTAACATTTTATTTTGACAAGGAATAACCAGATCAAATCAAACATTGTTCGTTTATCCCGTTAAGAGTGGTCACCCTATCGATAAGCGGTTTAGTAATTATGCGTTCGGCGAAAAGTTTTAGTGCTCATATGTTATCATCAATAACCTATAGTTATTGTATTGAGGGTGAGACGGTAGTGCAATAATTTCTAATAGGGTGTCCATACTGTTCAAATTAAAAATAATTTTAGAAAAAAAAGATGAGGTCTCAAGTACATACCAGATTCAGTTTTAGAATAAAATTCTGCATGTGCTCTGTTAATATGTCCGTTGTCAAGCTATTGTAGCTTCAGCGTCGGGGGTCGTGGGTTCGATTACCACACGGATCAATTATTTGTGTACCCCACAGACAGCTGTTTCGCATCTGAGTGTTAGTCCAAGTGAAATTTATGTTTGTAAAACGTCCATACAACACAGTATAAAATTATCCTAAAGTAAGGGCAATGTTTAAAAAAAAAAAGTAAAATAGCGGTCTTCTCGCTTAAACAGCGATCTCTTATAGACTAAGGACAACAATCAGAAAAAAAGTTTGAGTTATACCTATCAGTCTTTTCTTTTGTTAAATATGTAGTGTTGTTGTATCTAAAATAAAAAAAAGAAATAATACTCTAAATGGGTGCCAACTAAACTCCAGCCCCCGTGTGGTCCAATCGTCACAATCAGGTAGGCCTTTTCCATCCTTTGCAATACAACAACCAACCGACCAAGCTCACCTGAGAGCCAGCTCGTGCAGCGGAGTGCGGAACATTTCTGCGGTCTGGTGTTCGTCGAGTTTCTCGTACCGCGCTCGAGAGCAAAGCGTGAAGCAAACGCCGGGCCTGACGCGACCAGCCCGCCCTTTACGCTGCAAAATAGGAACATATTAGTTATATTAGTGTAGACTATAGCTGTACAATTTGGCCGGTTAAGCCGGCGAAAAGAGTTAGCTAAGTTAATTAGCTAACTAACCGAGCAGCCTCACTAATTTAACCAGTTGACTAAATTAACTCGCTGACGGTTAGATCGGCTTAATGCTCGGCTTACTCGGACTAGTGCATTAAAATATGTTTTATATTTATCATAATAATAATAATAACAGATTTAGGGTAGGTAGGCTAATAATTAATTAACTTAGCTAACATTGCAGCCTGACTAATTTAACCAGTTGACTAAATTAACTCGCTGACGGTTAAATCGGCTTAATGCTCGGCTTACTCGGACTAGTGCATTAAAATATGTTTTATATTTATCATAATAATAATAATAACAGACTAAGGGTAGGTAGGGTAATAATTAATTAACTTAGCTAGCGTTGCAGCCTAACTAATTTAACCAGTTGACTAAATTAACTCGCTGACGGTTAAATCGGCTTAATGCTCGGCTTACTCGGACTAGTGCATTAAAATATGTTTTATATTTATAATAATAATAGAGTAAGGGTAGGTAGGCTAATAATTAATTAACTTAGCTAACGTTTTCCAGCGGCTTTACCGGTCAAATTGTACAGCCCTAGTATAGATGTTAAATGTCCAGTAAATATAAATCTACATAAATATAAAAGAGAATGTATGTGAAGGATGATATGAAGACAATTGATATGAAGGACATATACAGCGTGTCGTTACAACCGCGACAATAAATGAACACACGTCTAACGCTACTTGCCAATAATCATCAAAAAATATAAAACGTTAAAAAATCCATAATTAATAAAATATATTTTTCAAACAAACTAATTAAATCAAAAAGAAACAAAATTTGTAACATCCTATACAACTACGTTTTCATTCGTTGCCGTAACGTCGCATTACAAATCTCTCCTTCTAAGAGTATGTTTTATCTCTTTTAAATTCATTCAACCCATTCATATGCTTTGTGACCATTACAAATGAACTTTACGTTACAGTTTAATACATAAGGCTGATCTAAAAATGTTTATTTTGTAAAATTTAATAACTCTGTAAATATTGATGTTTAAAGAATTTAATGTTTAATACAATTTTAAAAAGTTATCCTCTATATGTGTGTTCATTTATTGTCGCGGTTGTAACGACACGCTGTATAAACCGCGACATGACCACTCCGATGAAAAAAGTTATGTTAGTGCCGGATAGGTCGCGTTGTTGGAACTGATATACATATGATTTTTTTATCTTGAATATCGATTATTAAGATGAGGATTCTAGTTTAAGGCAGGGGAGAAAAAATTCCCGCCAGTTTCGTTCCACACATTTTGAATCGGCAAATGAGTTTTATTCGACGATCTTTATGTTTACAAACAGAAGAGACCATCACCTGTTCCAAGTTGGTGCGGCTCGCCCAGACAGTCGCGTACGAGGTCATGTTGTTGTGCGACGTGAACAGCTTGATCTTGGCCTTGCAGCAGTCTATCACGTAGACCACGTCGTTGATCGTGATCGATGTCTCGGCTATATTGGTCGACAGGATCACCTGAAGCGTCATACATTGAGCGATATTACAGTGTACCACACATAGTGTACACATATTAGTGCACCAATGCATTAAAAGTATCTCAAAATATTTTATTGTATTGATGATGCGGTACCGTCTTCACCATAAGGGTACACAGGGCCCGTGCTCAGGGTCCCTGTCACCCAGGGCCAATGTCGTAACGGGGGCCTCACATAGCCTACGCATTCGCTTAAACTATAAAAAAATGTCTCTATTCTTGGTAGATATATTCCGAAAAAAGAATAAATAAAATATATAAGGTAATAACCGAATTGTTTTTGTCATTCACTTTTTTACTTTCCATCAGAACCCCAAATCTGTGTGCCCTAGGGCCCCGATATGGCCTAAGACGCAATGGCTGAAGGTATTGAAGGGGTTGGGCAGTAAGTTCCAACGACCACTGCAACCTAGAAAGATCTATTGTAGTCTTCATTTCAAAAACATTACTGTAGGATAACATTATCCAGTGTTGTTAGAACGTTTTACGTACATAAATATCACATGGACAAATATCCAGATCCAAACAACCATCTGTGAGTCACACGATTCGATTCCTACACGAGACAACTATTTTGTCACGTGTGGGAATCGAATCCACGGCCCTTGGCGCCGAAGCAGACACCTTGTAAACTGCTCCACCGAGTCATCCCTTAGACGCTGATTAATTTATCATCTATTAACTAATTAAACATTAAATAGAGTATAATACCTTAGTCAGACCGGGCGGTGGGGTCAGAAAGACCTTCTTCTGGTCCTCTCTTGGTATTTGGCTGTGTAATGGCAGTATCACGTACTGAGAGGTGTCACCGAATATTTTGCTGTGCATCAGGTGTTTCATCAGAGCGAATATAAAGTTCCAACCGGGCAGGAAGACCAGTACTGCTCCGTCGGCGTCCAGGTTTCTTATGTATATCAGAAGGGCTTCGATCAGTTCAAAACTGAGCTGGAAACAAAATGGAAAACAATTTAGATAATTTTGTGAGATGGTTAATATGTTGTGGAATCTGCGCTGATATTATGAGGAAGAAAAATTCCTAAGTGTCTGTTTTTTCTTTTTATGTGAGAAATGAGGCAAATGAGCGGGCGGTTCACCTGATGTTAAGTGATAACCGCCAACCCGTTGACATTTGCAACACTCCTAGGGTTGGAGATGCGTTGGCACCCTTAAAAAAAAATGGGCCCCGGCTCCCTCACTCACCTGACGAAACGCAGAAATATAACACTTCCACTTTACGACGGTCTTCTGTGAGGAACTAGTTCTTCCCCGGATAGACCTGCCCATTTGTGCAACAGAATAAACTGTTGCGTGTCCGTACCACGGTTAATATTTTTCTTCGCTATATACAGCGTGTCGTTACCATCGCGACATTAAATGAACACACGTCTAACGCTACTTGCATAAAATATTGCAATAATCATAAAAAAATATTAACGTTAAACAAAATCCATAATTAAAAAAAATATTTTTCAAACAATTAAAACAAACTAAGTAAAAAGAAATAAAATTTGTAACATCCTATACAAATCCACGTAATTACAAAAAAGTATGATTTGTTTTTCAAACAAACATTACTGAACTACTAACTTTCTACGTAAGGTATTGATGAAAATTTTAAAGTAAAATTAAATGTGTTTAATACAACTTTAAAAAGTTATCCCCTATATGTGTGTTCATTTATTGTCGCGATGTTAACGACACGCTGTATAGTTGACATTTCGACAGCAGAAGCATTTGTAAACATTTCTTTAAATAACGAAGTTCACAAACTACTCCGATTCGGAGTAGTAACTTCGTATCGACGTGATTTACGTGTGTTCAATTAAATTAATTCAGACATAAAATCTCTCTATTATAATGGAATGGAAATAACTCATGCACTGTACTTGAAAGTGGTACTTTTGTGACGTTCAATAAGAGCTTAAAACAAGCCTATTATAAATAAAAAAAATTAACTTTGATTTTCAAATATAATAATATACGTACATCTTTCTCCGACAACTTGGTCATTGTCTCTCTGGTTAACTCGGAGTAGCTGCCCTCGTCCAAGCTGGCTTTGTTCAAATCTTCTTCCGGCTCCTCCCCAAGTCCTTTAAAAGCAATGAAACCATTAGTCACAAATTTGGGTACTGGTAGCCCATTTTATTAAAAAAACCTTCATGAGGTCACACGATTTTCATGCAGTTATTTCAATAAATTAGATTAGATTTCAAAATGGAAGAGGTTTTAAATTCGATTTTCGAATTTTTATGTTTGTTACCTGAGAACTTTGGTCTGAGTGAACCAATTTTGATGATTCTTTTTTATTTGAAAACTGGTGCTTCCCATGTGGTCCTATATTAATTTCATTAATATTGTATGATGGGTTCCGGAGATACTTAGTGAACTCGATTATAAAATGCATACAGAGCGAGATATTTAAAGTCTGCTTTGTTTTTCGTTAATAAACAAGTAAATTTTTTTTTAAGTTTAAGGATGTTTTACATACATAAATTTCAAGCGACAAACACCCAGATCCGAAACAATTATCTGTTCCGTTCACACAAATAGGCGTCCCGTGTTGGAATCGAACCCACTACACCCGGCGCCGAAGCCGATACCTTGGCAACTGCGCCACCGAGTAAGAAAAGTGTAGTAAAACTAATGAAGCGTTTACCCACCTTCGTCGTCGTCATCTTCGTCCTCCCTGCTGGTGGCCCTTCGGCCGGACGATTTCCGCTTGCGTGAGTCCACTGGCGGCACGAACTTGGTGATCTCAAGGCAGTCCTCCAGGAAGTACTGCTCCACGGGATACGTACGCCCCGGCACCTGGTTGAGATATGATCGAGTTATTACAATTGCCGCGATCGACCGACATCGAAAAAGGGGGTTCTCAGTTCGGTTGTTTGTTTTGAAGTTATACCCCATGTGGAGCGTTTGGGAAAAATGATGGTGGTGAATTTTTGGTACACAAACACACCCGCACACATACACTCACGTTTTTGTAAATCTTTTTTTTAAATGTACTTCTTCATTGTATCATTTTGGTTACTGGGTCATGTATTCTACTCTGTGTGTATCAATGCAATCAAATTGGGTACATGTCGAGTGGAACTTAAACGCGCTCTAGTGAATCTGGGCCCTCGAGTGTTTTGCGTCTAAGTTTTATTTTGAAAAAGGGCATACAGGGAACACGCCTTATTTACTAGTATACCACTAGTATTCGTTTATAGTAACGATCACTACACTATTCGACTAGTATTGTACTATTACTGGCGAGTTATCAACTGAGTCGTCAAGCCATGAACGTCAATAGCGACCCGCCCCGGCTTCGCATGGGTGCAATGTAGTATACATATAAACCCTCCTTTGAATCACTCTATCTAGTAAAAAAATTCGCATCAAGATCCGTTTCGTAGTTTTAAAAATCTAAGCATACATAGGAACAGACAGACAGCGGGACGACTTTGTTTTATACTATGTAGTGATGTTTAAATCTACATGTGGCGTATTAGTCCAATAAATGTTTTCTTTATTTCTTTCTTTCTAGAACGGGCAGAAGTGCGGGCACCTCGATGACGGGGCAGTCGCCGAAGTAGCCCTTGAACAGCGTCACGTCCACGGTGGCGGACATCAGGATGATGCGCAGGTCAGGGTAAGTGTGCGCCATGTCGCGGAGCAGGATCAGAGCGAAGTCCGTGTCTGCATCGCGCTCGTGCACCTGTAAAGGCCAGGATACGCACGTCAAAACTAAGGGTTTAATAACCCGAGAAGAATGTGAACGCTAATCTTTGCACTTAAGATTGAACATTAAAATATGTAGAAAAATTACGAAAAGATCGTTGCCGTTAGCTCAGCGGCTAGAGCTTCAGGCCGCGAATGCCGAAGACGTGGTTTTGATTCCCATAGCGGCGACAATCTTTTCGTACTTTTTCTACATATTTTAATAAGACAACTAACAACACGGTTGGAAAACCAAAAATTATACAGCGAAGCTTACGCGGACGGACCTGCTCACTCGTGCAACAGCGAAGACTGTTGCGTGGCCCTACCACAGTCGATTGCGATTATCCCATTTATTATTTGGATTGTGTAGCAATGATACATTCTTCTTACCTCATCGACCAACACATGGCTGACTCCCCTCAGGCCGCCTTCTAGCTTGCGCAGCAAAACGCCCACCGTGCAGAACAGTATGGAGCCGTACGGACGCGGGAGCACAGACTCGAAGCGCACCGAATACCTGGTGGAATAAAACTTTTTTTTTTACTTTATGAACAGTTTTAAAGGTTGTCAACGCATCTCCAACCCTCGGGTGAAGCAGATATCTATAGGCGGAGGTATTCACTTAACATGAGGTGAACTGTCTGCTCGTTTGGCAAATTTTTACATTAAAAAAAGTTTTATATTTTGAGAGCATACAGTGGTTAGAGTTGCTACTAGTCTCTGATCCGAATTGGGATTTCCTACTATAATGTATAGTATATAATTATGTATATTCAGAAAATTATTAAAATTTCTCTGGAACCTCAATAATGCAGGCTGTATGCAAAGTCAAGTGCATTTTCTGCCAGTCAATCTAGCGAGTGGTCCTGAGGAGTTCAAAAAAATACACATAATTCTTGGTATAGTCCAGTATTTAACGTAATTTAGTTAGCCGTGTATTTGTCTGGTCGCTCGCTTTTAATTTCATGCACTCGAGCAACCTGAGTTCATCCCCGGTGCAGGAACCAATGAAATTGTTAATTTTATGTGCAGAATAATATCGAAATAATAACGAAAAAGAATATTTCGAAGATATGTGAAGTCCGCCAATCCGTAGTGGGGTCGCATAGTGGACGTGGTCTACGCCCTTATACCCTCTGTACATAGGAGGCCTTTGCGGTTACTTTACTTTAGTTTTACGTTAAATACTAGAGGTAAGCTAGCCGACACCTTTAACAACATGATTCCCATATGCCGACACACAGGTGGGCAAAGAGCAGGAGAAAGAAGAAGCTACCTGACCCAACACTATTTTTTGTTGATAGGATAACATTATCCTATGTTGTAAGGATGTTTAACAAACATAAATTTCACGCTGACAAACACCCAGGTGCGAAACAACTATCTGTGGGTCACACAAATAGTTGTCCCGTGTGGGAGTCGAACCCACGACCCCCGACGCCGAAGCCAATACCTTGGCAACTGCGCCACGGAGTCTTCGAATAAATATTGTCCAACATAAGCTGTAACCATTAACATGACCCACATGTGCCACACACAGGTGGAGTAACGGGAGGAGAAAGAAGAAGCATAAGAGCAGGAGAAAGAAGAATCAGCCTGACCCGACGCTGTTGCCCAACTCCTCGCAGCGCTCGCTGGCCACCCTCTCCGAGACGCTGACGGCGGAGATGCGCCTCGGCTGCGTCACGCACACGTTCGCCCAGGCGCCCTGACCGCTAGCGATGTAATCATCCAGGATGAACTGGCACACCTGGACACAGACACTATAATCAGTGGCAACAAGGAGGTTTTTTATGTGAGAAGATGGCAATGGTGATGTGATAATCGCCGCCCGCGGCCATTTGCAACACCCGTACGGTTGATACGTCACCCTTTAATAAATTGGGCTCCACTCACCAGACCAAAGGCAGAAGGGTTACACCACCACAAAATAAATCATCCTTGAGGTGTTGCATACCTGCGTAGTCTTCCCGCAGCCAGTGTTGCCCCTGATGATGATAACAGGGTTCTCGTTGATTGCCTCCATTATCTGGCTTTTCATCGCGAAGACTGGTAGCTGTTCCCTTTCTTTAAGGCTCTCCTATAACAATTAAATGTATCAGATAGTTTCTTCATGTAAAATTAAAGATTTTCTTTAAAATATGTTAATGGCAAAGATTGTTGCCTGTTGTTCACAACCCTCTTGCTCAAAACCTACTTCAAACACTTCCATAAAATCGTGGCCGACTCTATTTATCCTTTTTTCTTATATCTCGAGATATCATGTTAAATATACACTTCTACTCAGCAACAGCCAAAAGACGCACTATTGACCGAAGTACAGACATTGGCATACTGTTTCATTCCATTCATAAATAAAATATAAAAAGAATTAAAGAAAATTACCTGATACATTTCGCTGTTTTGACAATTCTCTCTGTGACGCTTCTCCAGATCACTGCTTATATCGTCCAGGCTGGCAGTCGCCAATGGACCCTCATCTATAAGACAATGAAAGTGGTATTTTTTATATTTTATTGAAAGCGGTATAAAGTGTGGCTAATAATCTAAGTTTTATAGACTTCTGTCGACTTTTTCAGTTGCGTTGTAAGGGGTACAACTGGTTAAACAAAAGTCGCACTTTTACTATTACTAGTACTGATTGTTTGTATGTTTTTTTTTAATTTAATACTAACCAATATTACACCCCATCCATGCGTTCCAATTCGGCTGTGGTGGAGACCAGGACACAACACCACTAGGAGTTGGCCGAGCTTCTCTCATTTGTTTCACTCGGTCAACTTGCAATAACGTAATGCCTCCAGATACCTCTTGGCCCTCCTCTTGGGCATTTTGATTAGCCTCAGCCTCTTCTATGTTCACTGGCTCAATGCCCAATTCTAAATAATGAAAAATTAAATCATTAGTAAGGAAATGTACTATTTGAAAATAGGACTTTACACAAGTATGAAATAAAATGAACCATAAGTAATATTAAACTGGAGAAATTAACCGTAATTATAATTGATGTCCTACACAAATTTAACATACATTTTTCCTGATATTAAAGATAAGTAATATATGAATATATGAATGATAAAGTAATATAATTGATATAAAAAGAAATTTTTAGATATATTATAAGATGCAAGAAGAAAACAAACCTTGCAAAGTCTCTTCAATTTGTTCTTCCAAATCTGGTCTTATTGCAACAGGGTATGGTCTCATCAGACATTCTGATGACCTGCAATAAAGTAAACGTTGCTTATTAATTAAAAAAAAATAAAATAAAAAATATTTTAACATTAATAAAAGTAAGAAATATTAATACTTGTCTTTCTTCAGAGTGCCGCTAAACGCCTCTAAAACTCCAAGATGATACAACTGACGCACGATGGACAGCGCACAAGACTTGCTGGCGGTTTGTTTGTTGGAAGCGGTTTCCCTTCCAGTCACATTGCGTCCCAACTGCCTCACAAATATTGTCATTTCGCAGCAAAAACTCCTGAAATTTCCAATAAACGGGTATTATTAAATGCCTTCATAAATAAAATATATATACTTCTACTAATAATTATCATATATTAAAATCTTATATTATTTAGTTATTGTCTATGTTGAAAATATTTTTTTTTAATAACTACTTGTATTTCTCCTTTGTTTGTACGATTTTAGGTCTGTGTTTTCAAAAATGTGGATATTCCTGGCGTAAGCGTATTGTCTTAGAAGCTACATTTATTTACACAAATAATCTAAACAGTACTAAATAAGATCTTAGCAGTCGGAAAACAAAGTGGTGCTACAAAATTGCCGTTTAATATAATATAAAAAAAATTATTACAGGAAATTATATAATTAATCAAAGCATTGTCCAATAATTATCCTAGCACTTTGCCATGATTCCATTAATGGATGTCAACTGATACCACTGCTATAGAAATCAGAGGACATGATTCAATAAACTCTTCAAAAATTTCAGTCTTATCAGGATTATAACTTTTATTTGTTGTACACTGTACTGTTTGTGTACTGTGTTTGTACACTGGGTTATCAAGTTCCGAGAACGAATCAAATCAGTTGCAGCTAGGTCTGTGGAACATGGTTGGTGACAATGAGTTTGCAGTCACAAATCCTTTCGTTTTGATGGGTTCTGTTGTAGCGAAGGAGTGAACTAGTGCCAATCGTCAAGTCTCTGCTGTGACAGCAATCTCGTCCATCATCATTTGCAATTCTTCACGGTACTCCTCTGCAGTATTTGGTGTGCCAGGTCTCGTTAAGCTCCGCTCCGCAGTCTCGAAGTCATAGAATATGACCGAGGGATGTCCTACGTGTCGTAAAAGGCGACGAAATTGGTTTAAAGGCGACCGCAGTCTAGATCTTCGATTTAAATGGTCTCAGGTAGGGTGCAAAACGAAGTCATCTTGTGTTGCTTACTTCAGAGGTACACAGGTACGTTAAAAGAAAGGTCTGGACACGAACAATGGCGTCACAGTTCCACCACACACCCAAGCAACTTCTCTGCTATGCCCTTGACATATGGTATGGCTAACTCCTTTGTGTCCAACTAGTCCAATTTCCATTACTTATTTTTATTCAAGTGAAAATGTGTCTGTGTTTTATCACTGTTATAATATCACATTATTGGGTGGAGGATTAATTTTATTGACTTGATTCACAATATATGATTTGGCGCCTTACCTATCAAAAACCCCTTTCAAGAAACTATGACCAGAATAAAGTAGCTTCAATTTTTTTTTTTTTTTTATGCGAACAGTTGTCAAACGAGCAGACGGTTCACCTGATGTTAAGTGAATACCGCCGCCCATGGACATCTGCAAGGGTTACAGATGCGTTGACAACCTTTTGATAATTGGGCTGCGGCTACCTCGCTCACCAGACGAAACGCGAAAGTATTTGTCATACTTCCACTTTACGCTGGTCTTCTGTGAGGTCGTGGTACTTACCCGGACGGGCCTGCCCATTCGTGCAACAGCCGAGGCTGCTGCGTGGCCCTACCACCGTAAGCTGCGTGGCCCTACCACCGTACGTGGCCCTACCACCGTAATTCCGACTTTGTCACCGTTAAACTTTATTAGCAGGCATAGCTCTTTTTTTGATCTTTAGATTTTGTGTGCTCAATTGCATTCATTCCAGCTGCAATTGAGCACACAAAATCGCCACAAACTGTATAGATTGATAGAAGTATTGGTCTTTTTTCCCATTATTACCAAACTGCCGAGAGAGGGTTATGACTTTCGAGTGTATGTCTAACTCTTTGCCAAGCTTAAACCTTTTGAATGATTTCTACATATAATATCAGTGACACAGGACATATTTCAATATGGTGTATGTGAAAAAAAATTAATAACAATAGTTTAGTTAACATTTTTAACACAGTTGGGTTATGTTTTATTTAATCATTTATTCTTATTATACAGAATTTTGGTATGGCACCTCTATAGTTAAAAACTCGCACTTGACAACCCTCATTAAACAAAAACCTTCCTTAAATATCAATTCAAATTCCTACTCCAAATCCTTACATATCTATAATACACATTCTAAATACAAACAGTTAAATGCACAGATGCAAGCACAGATGTTTTCATCCAAATCCAAATAAGTGTTTTAATTACTTACTTAAAATGTATTGTATGAAATCTACTTAGTCTTTAATCTTATCTTGTATTGTTGTAAAAATAAATTGTTGGCTGTAGATTATGGTATAATTCACTTTATAAGATTATTAAATAAATAAGCAATTAGTGTGTGAATGAACGTTAATTTGAGTAATGACTTAACCAAATTGTGTGCACAACATATGAATATACAAAGTTTAATATTGTACTCACTTGGTAATGATGTGGCGCAAGGAACCTGGATCTGTGGCCAATATAATTGTCAGTTTAAAGAGATCTAGCGCAACCTGCATTTGAAACAAAATCAGTTTACATAATCTTGTTTCAGTATAATTTAAATTTTAAGTATTATTAAGAAGCTATCAAGCCATACAGATATGACTGATTTAGTTTTACCTTCATGCAATATCTTTTCCTGGACATTGTTACTAGTAACCCACATTCATACTTTGAAGGTAACCTTAAGAAGCTAATTTTTTTTAATAATCATTTTGGATATAGCATGATAGTTATTAAGATATATCACTTTATTAGATCTCTTTAACATGACTACATTTTCATAATCCCAGAAGTTAAATTTGCTGATCTGCAAATATCGCTTCTGCATACTATAGCTAGACACTGATGTTCTTCTAATATTCATTACTTGCATACAAATGCCATGTGGCCATTAATATGCAAGTTATTTTACTGCCCAAAACAATGTTTTCATCAGTATCTGCTATAGACCACAAATCCAGTTGTTCTACTGAGATAGCAGCCATTGATTTTTCAACACTCATGAATAACCAGTGGCTTATTGTAAGCTTTGAAAAGAAAATAAGAAAGGTATGTGAGGGAATGACAACTAAACATGGAAAACAAATTTAAACTAACAACAAAAATGTGATTTTGTCCATTTTTCGCTTTTCTCTCCATTTTTGCTTCATTCCTCATTGTTTAAGATGCCTAATAAATTATATTAGTGATGTCTATGTATACCCTTAAATTGATGTGATATGATAGAGCTATTTAATATTTCCTAGTTTTATAATAGGAAATCAGTGCTGTTACTGAAAAAACAACAGACTTAAAATTTATCACACAATAGACAGTACTCAACAAAGGAAATTAATAACAATATCAAATGGATGAAAATTGAAGAGGAGTTTCGGTCGCCCAACACGCTCAAGTGAAGAAGAAGATTCCGTATATTGTTTCATCACAAAATTTGATGAAGGTTCACTATTGAAAAATAGTATAATGATGAAATATGAACTAACCGTGTGTGATCAGGCCCTACAGCTTTGTACATATAATCTGCATTAATTTTATTGATCTGCATGAACTGGTGTAGTTTGGATTTTGCATTTTCCATAGTCCAGTTGCCATGGAGGCTAGCGTTTACATCAAGATCTTCCGCATCTTCAACATTTTTCTGTTGCTGTAGACGATCTATGTAGGTGAAGTTTTTACTGTTGCCTCCAATGGCATGGTAAGCTTGGCCCATACTTTGCGGGCCCATTCCCTCCTGTATAATTCATACCATATTTAACAAAAAGAAGAAAAAGAGGAAATAACAAATAGGAAGAAAATTAAGATTGAAGTTTGTGATTAAAGTTTAATAATGGATAGTCACACCTGAAATACGGGTTTTGGTTGATGGGATTGTGCAGAACCTTGATTGTTGCCATCTTCTGTTTCTTGTTTATTTACAACATCCACAGGCACGTCTGAAGCATTTAGCTCCCCTGATCTTACTAAGAAATTAAGAAAATCTTTGGAGGCATTTTTCTGAGCTTCTTTCTTCGTAACTGAATTGCCAGCACCAACATAAGTGAAACCATCTACACGTACCTCACACAGGAATCGTTGTCTATGCTTTGGACCTAGAAAATAAGCAGTAATTAATAAATATACCATAGGAAGAAGAATAGAAAGTTTCTTCTTTTCTTTTCTTGCAATGCTAAGGAAATACGCTATTACAATGCATACATAAGTAATTTTTAACATCTTAGTTTTTTTTTCATATGAGGTTCGTTGGTTGCAATTTTGTTTATATATTACGTCACTAATAATAATTTAATTATTTTTTTCTCAAAAACTAAATGTCGGCGCATATTCCCACTTCTTAATTATTGTTTCGGTTATGTTTCCCTATCGATAAAAATATTTATATACGAAAAACGCGCGTGCCCCTATTGTAAACAATTGCTGGTACAAAATGTATAAAATACACATTTTGCAATTAGATTACTCTTAATTGCAGCCTAATATGGATAGGCGTGAGCTGATCATCTAATTTTACTTATAATGCATACAATACAATTTATTTATATTAACTATTGCCAATATTGTACGTATTTGTACATTTTTTTTAGTAAATTAAACCAACCAAACATTACCTGTAGCACGAATATCATATGTTGGCGTTATACTTCTTTTAGCACACCATGAGAAAAGAAATGATTTTCCATCCATTGTATTTGCAATTTATTTCTAGACCGAATTAACAAACTAAATAGCAGGCCCTTGAAGATAACGTTTGCACATATAAAGTTATATTAATAAATAATAATATTTTAACTCTTAACTGTACCACATAAAATCCACTCCTGAAAGGAAAGATAAGAAACTGCCTGAATCTGACTCTCTGACCAAGTGACCAATCGGCAACCTCTGACTGACCATAGATAAGATATATAATGAAATAATTAAACAAAAGGAATGTAATCACGTATAATGAATTATGGGCTGAATGAAATAAAAATGAGATCATATCAGTAGGGTGACCATCACAAAAATGGTGAATCCCCCCGACACTAGCAAAAAATCTCCAAAACTCACCATCAAAAATATGTTGTCATATTATTTTATCGTTGGAGATAGTACAGTATAATTAAAGATATAGACTTTCTTTTGTTTTTACTGAAAATCTCTTTTGGAAGAATATTTCGTAACAACTGCAAGAGTTGATGTGCATCATTATCATGCACGGAAGACAAATATACACATTAAACGCCATAAGAGAATAAGGTATAAAATAATATAAGATACTACAAACATTGACATGAACCTCGATCAGTTATATTATTAACAAAGTAAGTCTTATTTTATACCGTTTATAATCATATGACGTACCTACATTAAAATACAATAATCGGGAAATCCCCCTAATGTATAACATGGGCCGAAAGTTGCCACATCAGAAAATAATTTGCTACCAAATAATAACAAAAGTAAATAATAAGGAAGAATATTATAAGTATTCTATATACAAATGTTATTTTATATTATGTGCGAATATAATTCTTTTTAAGGAAATCTTTATTATTTAAAAAATAATAAAGATTTCCTTGGAATCCGCCAAATTCTGCCACTTTGACTGTAAATTGAAATGTGGCACATTGTGGCATTTGACTGTAATGACGAAAAAATTATTGAGAGAAATCTGAAGCGTCTACAAATAGTTATGAAGATTATTCTACAAATAGTATCATTTCTATAGATTTTTCTAAGAATAGTATTCTACAAATAGTTATCAAGAAATAATTTATTAACATTTTTTAAACCAAACTAAATGCCCGTGTAAGTCTGGGAAAAATTCATCATTTTTGAAAACTCCATTCAGTCTGGCGAAACTAGGAACAAAAAATTTTGCTATGGACTTTACGTGGCAAATAATGGCGTATATTGCTATCACATTCCCTCAATGCGGTTTCTCTTTCTTGAAATACAAGAAGTGCCATGTTTTTTGTCAAAACTTCATTTCGCATGTAAATGTTTATTTCATTGTAGATTTAAATTGTTTAGAGTAAAATTTCTTACGAAAACTAGAGACAGGTGATCAGAGTTGTACTTTTAATTCAAAATGCCTAAAAGACCGCTTATTGCCTGTGAAATTGGTGAAAATCGAGCAAGTCATTCAAATCTTGAAAAAAGGATGTTTATGGCGAGATTTCCCTTAAATGAAGCCCATGTAAGCACTTAAATTTGATACTTTGCAGCCATATGTAATTAGAGCAGGCTAAGAAAAATAAAATTAACAAATTTATTATTGGAGTTAATAGATATAGAAAATCTGGTAAGATCTTTAAATCATATCATTAATTTCATTTAAATTGTCTGCTAGTGATGTACTGCAACTATAATATCCACATATCGATAACTACGTAAATGTTAGAAAAAAATAAGAAATAAAGTATTGCGTGAAAGAGTAGGGGCACAAAGTTTTACATATTTGAATGGTGTGCCATAAATGAGCAAGGATCGGGATAGGTGAATTTTGCAGGATTTTGAAACATAATCTCTATAATATTGATACGCCATATAATTAATTTCGTGCGCTAAGTATGCAAGAAAACTAAAATAATTTTTGGATTTAGATTCTATTTTTATGTGTCAATTATTTCCAGACTTGTGTACAGCAGGTCAACAGCTGTTAGCAGAAGAATCAAGAGACAAGAAAGAAATTTCATTTCAGTAATAAATTTTATTTGAATTAACAGAAACCGTATTTTATCTTATTTCGGGTCCGCATTTAAGTCCAATCTTGTATTAGTATCAAATATCCCCACATCAACATTGTACATAAATACGTACTTGATACTTACTTAAATATAATAAAAAAGTATTAAGTGGAAACCTCGGTTTCTACCTAGTATATTTTATCGATATCGTTAAGAAGCTAAGCTAGCTTGGTTAAGCACTATTTGTCTCGTTACGTTGATACTCCTGTTGTTTGACATCTTTGTAGTATTTTTGTGGTATATGGTATAGTTGGTATTGGAGTGTCGCGTAAACTGATATTTATAGCTAGGGAAGTCCCGTCTCTTAAACGTAGTTATTACATTCTTTTTGACTCCATTGACAAAAAATATTGTCTTATTTACCAATTAATTCAATCAAAGTAATTAGTGCAACCATGTATTATAAAATCAAGTCCCCAGTTAAATAATATATCTAGTCTATTATTATATTAGATATAGCATTAACATATTTTAAAAATATATTTTCATATAAGAAATAATCCTATAGATTTAAAAATCATATTAAAAGTCATGATGTGCTAAAAATCAAGCTACCAAAAAAAGAATAAAAAAATTTTTGGTAGCCGTCTTAGAGAGAGATCCATTCCGTACGAGAGCATGCTATGGCAACTTAGAACTACTTCAAGAAAATTTCGGAACATTTTTTTTTCATCATTTTTCATTTCGCCATCTGCGAGACAAATGAAATACTAAAATACATAGTGCTGCCACTATAAAATATAGTAATAAATCCTATGGAGATTTTACACATAAAAATTAATATATAATAATGTTTTTTGAGAAACAAAGAACAATAAAAAGAGATATTTGAATAAATATTTATTTTCGTCCACTTCATTTCTTATTTTAAAGCAAATTTAGGCAATTTCTTGTTAATAAAACGTTTTAAATGCGGGGTGGTTGCTCTGTTTGATATGGCAGCATCACTTGAAAAATTAATGACAATTATTGTTGTTCACTGTTATTTTGATGTTTCGAATCGTGCACGCACAATTTTATTGTAAATTATGATACCGTTCGTTAATTTTCTGAGAGTTAAGTGAAACACTGCACGCCGCAGGTCTTGAGTCTTGAGTAAGTCGTGGTGTGGCACTTGGATTCGTAGCAGGTATGCAAACTTGTGTGTTAATGTTACAAATTGAATGAATCTCATGTACGGTATAATACTGTTGTAGTGTGATTGAGTAAACAATGTTATAATTGAAGGGCATGTTGGTTTACGGGACCCAGACTACACCGCTGTTTGTCACTTAGATTCCCACCCAGGACAAACATTTGTGTGCTTGTTTGAAAATGTTTACTTTTTCTGAATTGGTTGTAAATATATACACGTATGTATTATAACAGTATATGTTATACTTAATCATGTATGTCAGTTATCAACTTACCATTAGTAAAAGCTCTGCTTAGTTTGGTATCAGATGACCATGTGTAAAGAATGTCCCTGAATGTTATTATTGATTTATTGATAAAAAATAAATAAATTATATTTCTTTTCATTACAGAATGTGGAAAATTACCTAAGGAGAGCATTGAAACCATAACTTGTCAGTTTTTATTTGATGAACTGTGCAATAGTGTGAATGGCAGCTTCAGTGAAGTTCAAAAAGGAAAACTTAATAGAGCAGCATTAACTGCCACGCCACATCACCATTTATGGAATAAATTACTATAGGTTTCCGAGTACTATTGAAATATTTAAATTCCAAGGATATAAGTTATTTATTTTTGTAAAACTTCAATTAGGATACATTGGAGAACTCTTTTGAGAAATTACATTGAGAAAATTACATTTCACAGTATATTAAATTGATAATAAACACTAATTAAGATTTAAATTTTCTGTCTTGCTCACATCATAAAGAAAGGCTGCTTAATTATTTACTAAACAAAAGTACAAATTTTTTTTCACAAATTGTGTAAAGATGAAATTATGTTCTCACTGGAAAGATTGCCTTAAATGCCAAAAATTATTTTGGCATTTAAGGCAATCTTTCCAGTTTAAATTTATTTAAATCATTTTTTGAAAAATAAAGAGAGGAAAAGAAAAAGATAAAAAGAAGTTTTGATAAATGTGTTGTTAATTAAAACTTCAAAATATAATAAAAACTTATGTTATGGTTTGTTGAGAAATGATAGGAGTCTATGTATGTAAATTAAGACAGGCATGTAACTGAATTGTCTTAATTAATTATTGAAATAAACTGCTTAAAATGATTCAACTTCATTTATTTATTAATTTATTTTTGTATCAGGTACTTTAATATTAAAGTCAAATATAAATAAATGTCACAGATTTTTAATTGTTATGGGAACTTGTAAATAAATTAAGTCCGTTTAAAATTATTGTATATATTGATTGCCCACAAAAATTGGACTTACACGTCCAATTATTGTGGTAAATCGAACTTATTAAAATTTTTAATCCCTAGTAACTACTTTCCTTAGCTAGCTATATGTAGCTAAAGCTATATTTATCAATTTTAGTTCCGCATTTGAATACCAGGAGGCGCATGTTTGACAGCAAAAAAAACGAGTTGCCTGTCTAGTTCCAGTACACACTATTAGTCTTTGTACGAGAGCACGAAGCGGAATCAAAGAGAATGTAATCACTACGTTTGGCGGAATGTCAACATCACTATTTTGGTTGACCAAAAGGAATAAAAAAAATTCTATGAATGAATGTAATTTTTAAAATATTTTAATATTGTGTGGTTTTTTTAATTATTTATACTATTTGTAATGATTATAAAGTACATAAAACTAAGTTATATTTTATTTATCTTAACAAAACGTAAAAGTCATTTAAACAACAACTTTCAAAACAATACTATATATAGGACATTTTTTTGGGCTTTTGAAAATTGCATGTAGGGCTATTTCACTTGATTTTAGGGTCAATTTTTTTAAGAAGTTGGCCACACTCATTCAAGGTTATCCAATCAACCAATAGCAGCAATGAAATTGAAATATTGATGAATTACCTATCTAGTTTCCTGATAATAACTGTTTCTCAAATAAAATTGTAAACAAACAAACCATTAAAAATTGAGAAAATGTCCTCTAGTGACAAATGTTAACAAGTAAAATTGTAAAGAAACCACTAAAAATTGAGAACATGTCTAAAGTGACTAATGTTAACTCTAGTTTAGCTTACGAAATACTTCTTTATTTAAATTCGTTTTATTTAGGAATGTTTTTTGTTTGTGAAGTGGCTATGGGTATATTAAAAGCAATAAACGTAACTTACCCAGAAAATGCTCTCTTTACTGAAGCCGGAATTTTTTGTGTCTTATGTCTACTCGAAGTTATTCGTATTTTTTTGGGGCGTCGTGGAAATTTAGCCAGTAAAAGTAAGCAAATGTACTAAATTGAAATAGGTACTTAAAATATGTGGATGTAATAAACTGACGTAAAATAGTAATAACGATTTAAAAAAAATATATAACAATTACTTTATATTCTCTTTCAAATAATATTCTCATTTAAATAAAAAATTACAAGTGTGCTGTTATGATTTTAACATAGGAATATTAATTTCAGAAGTGCCAGTGTTCTTCTCAGTGATATTAACTATCCCATCTGCAATTGGCGTGTGTTATTTTCTTATATACCAGACATACATTCTCAGATTGGAATACATATGGTGCGCAGTGATGCTTATGTTTCATGCTCTTGAATTAGCATTTGCTATTCTCTTTATCTTAACTGTCTGTAAAAGCCATCAGTATGACTAGAATAAGTAGAAAACAGTTTTTTTTCCCAAAGAAAAAGTAAAGCCAAAAAATAGACTGAATTCTAAAAAAAAACATTCCAATGGAGATGTTGTTATGACTACTTTTTATGAATTGCACAACTTTATTGTTTACTGATACTTTTTTTTTATTTTATTACATTTTAATTTATTTATATTTTCATCTCCATTATTACTGCAGGCTACTATTCAGTTGCTGGCTATTTTGTATAATGCACATATATATATATATATATACAAATCATTATTTTATTAATAGTGATTATAATTTTTTAATTAAACTTAGCAGCTGAGACTGATCTCCACGTTAAATTAGGTATATTGTATTAGAAGAAAAACTATAAAATGATGATCTTACTCAGATTCTTAGGTATTTATCTGATAAACATTTTTTTTTAATGTAAATGTTATTCCTTAATCAGTAGCAAAAAACAAAATGTACTGTTATAGTTAAACATTTTCTTAAAGTTCTATAAATTAAGGTATGTTTAGATAATTTTGGAATCTATAAGATCATAAGGTGCAAAAGGTTAATTGTTGTCAAGCTAAACATTTCGACAAGTTTTGGAAATGTTAAGCTTTCAAATATTACATTATATTCTATATAATGAGGTACTAAATTTTTTACTATTATTGTACACATGTATCCAATAAATGAACTTTATGAGAATTGCATCTTTGTAGTCAAATTGTATTGCTAATTGATTGGGAACATTATTTGTTGGTCAGTATTCTGTAACGGCCTATGTGTAATATCTACATGTTTAGGAGTTAAAAAGAATAATATATTTCCTCTATTTACAGTTTAGAATTTTCTTGTTAACTAATATCTCTTCATGTTAAATGTAAAATTTTAGGTCTAACCACTAATGTGGGATGAATAATTATATACTCATCAAACAACAAAAATTACTAGTGGACAATATTAATCGATAAATTTTCAAATTATATACCATAATATTAATGTAATAAAAAATATGTGAAATTTAATGTAATAAATTAGCTAAACTTTTGAATATAAAGGATAATGATAATGAATAAATTCAATAAAACAAATAACCTTTTTCTTGTTCATTTATTTCTATTTGTGGTAATAGTATGTAGTCCACTAATCTAATTGATGAATAACTTATAAAATATGTTAAATAGTTATGATTCTGTTGGGGGTACAATATGGTCTGGAAGTTTTTGGCATTCTATTTTTGTGACTTTAAGAGCACAACCTTCTGGAAGGTTCCTCTCTATATATTCAATATATGTGTCACAAGTAGATCCTGTAAGTCGTTGCAAATGTATAAATCGGAAGTAAGTTCTAATCTCATATTGAACTCTGTGTTTCTTATAGATATGAACACATCTTAAGAGTGTATGTCTTTCTTTTTCAGCCTTTCTCAAGGCCCAGCTGCAAAAAAGTTCAATAACTATTTATTTCACTGCCTAATATCATATTACTTTTCTAATATCTATATGCAAGAAAGGTGACAACAAATATTTATTTCAAATTGATTAGTTAGATTAGTTTGGTGAAATTTTAATTTGCCAATGAGTCCTGTAAAGCATGGCTTGAAATTATGAATGCCATGAAGAATTAAAGAACAAGACTTTACTCTTTAGTGAAAACAAATTGCTTGAATCCAGTTATTGCGAGAATAAACATATAAACAACAGATTATCTGTATTCCTTTAATTGTAATAATTTTTGAAAATAAATATAAAACTCTTTATTTACTATAAATGAATTATTGTGCGTATAAATAAAATCAATATTACTGTGATTACTTTTAGGTCTATTTTTTTACTATTTATACACATAATTGTTCATGTTAAAATACACAATGTGGACTAATCTACTGCTAATTAATAACTATATTCTGACATCTTTAGATTTATAATCAAAATATTTTTTCTAATAAAATCAATAATATCATGAAGATTTAACTTACTTTTTTGTAACCTCAATCCCCAAATGTGAAGCAGCAGCTATACAAAACCATGAATAACTTAATAACACAGCAGGATCAATACCTCTCATTTCAAGTTCTACTCTTTTGTAAAGCTTGTCCAATTCTAATGGAGGAGCGCATTCTGTGGGTTTTGTTATAGGAGATATTGTAGCAGTTGATAAAGGTCGCAACACATGGTGTAATGTGTTGTAATGAAATCCAAAACTGCTGCGTATGGTAGGTCCAGTTCTCAAAAGACACTAAGTAACAGAAAATATGTTATGATTTTAATTGCAATACCAAATAAATATTATTGCCACTGAAGAAATCGAGTTATAAATATGGAATAAAAGGCAGAGATATAAAAAATATAAATTATGTAAATAAATGATTTTAAACTTGCCGCGTCTTCACTACAGCGTTTATTTAAAAATTAAATTCTAAACATTGGGGCGCCTATCGCCTCGTCTGGGCCCGTGATATCGAATGCTATTAGTTTATGGAACATCTGGAAATTTTCTTTTTTTAATTTTTAGATAAACGCGAAATAATCCGTAAAAAATTTCATTTATATTATGTATAAGTGTTCACGTAAATATGAGAAATTACAGGTTATAATTTAAAAGAACTCATACCTTCACTATATTCATTTTTTATAAAATCGAATTATTCGAGCTTTAAACTTTATGACTAAAATTATTCAAATTTACAAAACGGAAAGAAATTTAAAAAGTATGTGATATTTATTCAAAATTAATAAATATGTCAGAAGCCGGAAGATACAGTACATAAAATATTTTGGCATTTGTGGTGCTGCTGTTGTCAAAATAAATTAATATTTAAGAAAAAAGTTCTTAGATTATACCCAGCAAGACGGTAACTAAAGATTAAAGGATTCAAAATTTCAAACGAGTATAGTGGTCGGTCGTCATTGAGTCAAAAATTACTAAAACGTTAATAGTATCCCCGTTTCACTAAACCCAATGCGTAGGCATTGGGTTTAGTGAATCTGAGTTGAGTGAAACCGGTAATATTTTATTTCCTTAAATCTCCGGTATACCTCATAGGACTATTCTATGTTAGAGCTTCTAAAAATAATAATAAGTTGAAGTGAGAACTTAAGACTGGAATAACTTTTTTTTATCATGAATTGTAGTATGAATCAATAATCATCACTAAACTAGGGACTTCAAGTAAAAAAAATATATCTATATTTATCATATTGACATTTTTTTACAAACTATCGATAATTGTTCAGCGATATACAGATATTTTTAAGGTCTTTTTCTTTATATTTCCAAATCATTCAAAATTCGTGAAAAAGAATAGACATGAAGATTATTAATAATCGACTCTCGATATAGACATTACGAACACCCTCTGCCTAATGTGCTCCTTGTCAAACGGCTTCTATTGATGGGTACTGTCAGATTCACAGCTGAAGCAACTCTTTTTGAAGACACCGAAGAAGCCTGGCAAACCAGATACCTAGGGGCGACTTTTGAATTTCACTCCTTTTTACGGTATTTTTTCGTAAATTTACTAATTTGAAATTGCATAAAATTGTAAAATATTAATCAAACAAATGATTTGACCTCATTGAACGTCGCAGCGTTAAATAAAGTCATGCAAACTGACATAAGTCAATACCTATGTCAAATTGACATAAGTCAATACTTATTTCAGTTTGCATTACAAGTACATTATTTGCAATAACAAGACCTTTAAGCCAATGCTTAACGGTCTTGTTACCAGGCAATATTATTTTTATTACAACCAGAGTTGCGTTAAAAATATATCGAAATTGACACGAATTCGATAGTGGCAAATTGTTTTCTTGATTTTACGCGAATATTATACATATTAAATGAATTCACTATGAAATTATTATAGTTCACTATGGAATTAGAGACATGTAAACTCCTTAGCCTTTCTAGATGTATTAGTCATCCGAAATCTTGACAACACCTTGAGCCATACTGTGTATAGAAAGGAGACCCATACAAATAAATATTTAAATGGTGATTCTCACCACCACCCTTCACAGTTAGCTACTGTTGGTAAATGTTTGTTACAGAGAGCACGAGGGATCTGTGACAAGGAACACCTGGCCGCTGAGCTACACAATGTCAAGCAAGTGCTGCGTGACAACAAGCTCCAAATCCCGCGCCTGCGTCACAGTGACCGAGTGAACCAGCCACAGTCGAGCGAGTGCCTGCTGTATTGCCATATGTCAGAGGAGTCACTGACAAGTTTGGCTATATCTTGAAGCGTGCTTCAATTAAAACATATTTCAAGCCACCGAAGAAGATAAGTCAATTTTTACCATCTGTCAAGTGTAATATCCCTCTACAAGATCCAGGAGTGTACAAGCTTGACTGCGATTGTGGGCTGTCTTACATAGGACAAAAAAAACGATCAATTAAAACCAGAATTAAAGAACACATGGCTGACGTGAAGCACCGACGGTTGAAGAAGTCTGCAGTTTGTGATCATATTTTAGACCGCCCCAACCACTACATCAGATTTGATCAACCGAAAATCCTCGCAAAAGAACACCGATTCCTTCCAAGGATGATCCGCGAGGCTATTGAAATGAAGAAACATCCTAATTTCAATAGAGAAGATGGTTGGAGTTTATCATCTGCTTGGGATCCCATGATTTATAAAATTAAATCCATGCACACCAACACTGCCAGACCTCAAGATACCATAAGCTCCTTCTGCGTGTATCGGAATAAAAATAAACAAAATAATTGACGGTAGCCGGGGTTAACTATGACATCAAGACGTCTAATAACTTTAGTCTGTCCCGTGACCATGAACGCTGGAAAGGGTTCGAAACGTTTAAATTAAAATAAAAAATAAAAAACGCGATAAAATCCGTAAAGTAGTTTCATTTAATATCGATAGTGGCAAAATAAATATCGATATATCGGGAATAAAAATATCGATATTTATTTGGAAAATATATCGATATTTTTTGTCCATGCCTACACTAAACACTTACATATTTAAATTGCAAAGAAAGACCCATTCTTTTAAACAATTTAAACCCATAAATGATTATTGACAAATAATTGACCGAAACAAAGAGAAAGTAATCACTACGTTTACGTGGACCGAACAGCAAGATATTTGTTTTACAGATGTAAATTGAACACCATTATCAAAATTTTACCATCTCACATTCACATTACCATGCTGACATGCGTAGACTCAAACCTATCAAGTTTTACCCATCCAAAATTGCCCAACATTAGTTTTGATGCTTTTACTCCAAAAAATTCTACGATATTTTTAGATATGGCGTACTGTGAAGAAAAACTTTCAATTTTCCTTTTTCCTTATAAGTTGTATGTATTAGTGATGTTACGGATGCAAATTTTTGTAGAGGTTCTTAGCTTACAGAAAAGATTTCAACGGTCTTTTCTCAAATGTGGGGACATATTTCAGAAACTTATTACATTAAATTCAGAAATCAAAATAGAAAACAGCGATTTGACGGAAAGGCTTGGCTCACGGCTGTTCAGGTGTCCACGAGTTTGTCTAGCTAGAGTGAGCCATTTCAATTGGTGCCGTGACTTGTCAAATGCTTTTGTGATATCGAAAAATATCGCACCCGTACTTAAACCATCAACTTTTGGGGTGGTTCAGACTTTTCAGGATGTGTTCCAGCTCGGCAGGTGAAGTGTCTGTTCGGTACAAGAGTGAGTCGATCGGAAGCAGAATTGTTCGGGTGTTGAAGTAAGCGTTGTCTTTCAATTTGATAAGAATGCTATGTTCTGATGGCATCCCGAAGAAATTCAAGTGAGCGATGTCGATTGATGTTGACTTGTCAAAATCTGAGGGTCCTGGATTTATAAGGCTTTATTAAAATTTTTAGACAGAAATTAAAGTAGTCAAGCCTATATCTTTGACCTTTTTCTGGGGTTGGTCACCTGTTCGGGAGATGGGTACATTGGAGTTCTTGAATGGCTTCAATGATTCAGCTTTTTCGGAGTCATTGTAGGCAAATGAGGCCCTATTAAGTCTAACGGCGGAAGCGTATCAGGATACTCTACTTCATATTTCGGGCCAACTGCCAGTATGCACTCAGCGATGGCTTGAAATCTTCCAGTAGAGTATCTCACTCGGTCTTTCGGTGTTCCGATTGTCCGGATCGCTATTTTCAGATCGTTTTTCCTTTTGCCCCACCTCGCGCTTATGTTTTAAAAGCCCTGCGTCCATTTATAAGTACAGTCTCATCACTGAATCAGAATACATATCAATTATTGTAGGTCCAAATTGTGTAAATGTTAATTATCTTAATTTTTCTTTTTTACCTTGTACAATACTAAGGACATTCCTAATGTGAAGTAACAAGTTCATTTTCATACTAGATTTAATCAAAACAAAATATAGTGTTGTATTATGTTTTGGAAATAAACATTAATTATTACTAGTGATGTGCCGGATCATTAAAATAGTAGATCCGCGGATACGGATCTTACTTAATATCCAGGAAAATCTCAATATTAGTGTATCCAATCGTCCTTGATTTTGTGTCTGATTCGAAGGATAAATTAGATTTTAGATTTTCAGAAATTGATAAAAAAAATTGTTTCAAGTAGCCACATTTTAGGGGTCAAAGAAATAAAAAAAAAAATTGCTTACAACTTCGGAAAATTAATTAAATCTCTCAGTAACTACAAAAAGTACTAACGACAAACCAATGATTTTTGCCAGATTTTTTTTTTCTATGGCTAACATGTTAGTTAAAAATGATGATGATGAATATTAGATACGAAAACTCATTTGGTCATACAGTATATGTCAGAAAAAATATTATCAAGAGAGCCACGATCTACTTAAGTATTGGCAGATTAACAGTAAAAAGTTTGGAGATCTCAGTCATACATACAACTTGACTGCCTCTTGCGCCCCAGAGTGTGGGTTCGATCTCCACTACGGGAAAAATATTGTGTGATGAACATATTGTCTTTATAAATGTATAATATGTATTTATTTACAAAATAAAAGTATGTTTATCAGTTTGTTACACAATTACACATCCTGGAAATCGCCTACACTGCAACCACCCAGCTACGACATTCCAAGGGATTGCTTATTCCGTGCTAAGTGCCGTATAATTATATTTTTTTCTTCTTTCTTTCTTTTCTTCTCTTTTTTGTTGTTTTGTAATGTACCTAGTTTATGAAACTATATTGTACTAATTTAATGTGACCTCACCCTTAACGCAACTTGCTTATTGATATTTTATACTTTCATCTACCCTCAACCCTCAAACTGCTTTTGTCTGCTACAATACTCCAGAGGTTATAATTATCTTTTATCATGATTTGGAGGATAGAGCTGAAAAGTTACTCTTTTTGAAGAACAATTTACCGTTCCTTTAAATGTCAGTGTTTTTAATTAAAAGTTAACACCTTTAGTGTCACAGGGTATTAATTTACTTAATTAGAATTATCATTTTATTACGATTATAAGGGTAAAGATCCGTCAAAAATGTAGCGGATACGGATCTTTTTCTTCGACGGATATCCGCGATACGGATATCCGGAACATCACTACTTACAAATTAAAATTTTATAGGATATTTATAAGGAAAGAATGAAATTAATTGGTAAAATACATTATAGAAAATACCATACTTTTCAGGCTATTCGTAGTAAATAATAACATCAATAAGTATGATAAAAGATAAAAATCACTTTATTAAAAACTCACAAACATACAACACTCCTATAACATTCACCATTTGGTAAAAAAATTCTAATATTACAGAGTTCAGCTTTTTACGTTATCTTCTATAGGTCAAATGACATTCGAGTTTATTATTAATACAGATTTTTGGATCTTTGCCAATAATTAGTTATTGGAATAATACACAAATTGAATAATTAATTGTGAAGCAAATTTAGGTAATTGTGAGTATTGAAAAATAACTGGTTCTGCTAAAATAAAATTCTAATTAGTTTCCCATTTAAAAAATCAAACAAAACAAAGTAATAGGGCTATTTATTCTTTTCTTTTAAAATATATTAGTAGGTTATTTATTATACTATGTATTGTGTAAGAATAATGTGTATTTCACATTTTGGGGTTGTTAATTATTGTGATGTTAACTCAAGATCCCCATCAAATATTTGTACTAAAAAAAATGTTTCCAAATCATATATCATGTGAAATAAGACTGTAGATTGTGTGAAAAATACACATTAATAAAATTATTTGCCCATTTTTATCATTAGTTTTATTTATCTTGAACAACAGACATAAAAAAAAATAATAAATACTAACCTGTGCCTTCATATGTCTTATTACAACTATAGCAAGTCTTTTATTACATATATAGCCAAAATTTGGATAGGAGCTGCTAGCATGTTTTGAAATAAATTTTTACAAATATGAAATAACGCTTTTCATCATTTTACTAAATATATGAGATACATGTTTATTGTATTGCAGTATTTGGAAAATCTTTAAGGGGTATAAGATCGGTGTGATGATAAGTTCAACTTTTATTACATGAATTTCTAACTACTTTAAAAAAAAATTTTGAGGAACTTGGTGATGTCATACAAGTATTACAAGATTTTTTATATTATGTAATAACCTGATAGTTGCATGAAAAATAATTGAATTTTTTCAACAATTTCTAGACCTATCCAACAAACCACCTTTGATCAATAATTTGTCATAAAATTTAATGATATATTTACCCATTAAGACCATATTCTCAGTATTGCATTTATTCCAAATCACATTTAAAATAACCTAATCTGTGAGAGGAAAGTTCATATGTGTAAGAGTTTCCAAATTTAATTATTGCCATAAACAAATGAAATTGTCACTTCACACATTCTGTTATATATTCTGTTGTTTTACGGTAACTCCTTTAGTGGTTTGCTATTCAAAATGAGATAAAAATTTATGGCAGACATTAAACAAAAATAAAATTAACTGACATCTGTCATTGGTTAAAATATTTCACCACATATTTCTGCCCTTAATATAAGAAAAAAGAACGAAAAAATTTTTTATCACTTTTACCAAACTATGCAATCACTGCATAATTAAATAAATTTTTGGCAAAATGGTTGGCTAAAGCGCACTGGAAGCGATAACTTGTTATTTATATATCTTAAATATCAGTCGAGTAATAGGACATGTTCTGTTGAGAAGAACTTTATGTTGATTATTATCATGTAGTGAGTTTTTATATTGCCTTTTACGAAATTAATATCATTAAGTAATTACGTAAAAACCACATTCAGAAATTTGAAAATGAAAGAATGCAGGGAATGTGTGGCCAACAGTTGCTTTTGCTCTGAATGCGGTATTTGTTGTGTGGTTTTCACTTACAAGTGAATAAGTTTTTCAATAGAGCCTCTTTCGAGAGTGTTCCTGCTTTTTCTGGTACCACATGATGCCTAATACGACTATTACTATAATGACTATTGCTACGAACATCATATACAAGAAAGTTTTCACTCCGGACATGGCAGGTTTGGAGTCTTCAACTCTTTCTCTTGGCGCTTCGTAGGACGCAGCGGATGGGATGATGTTCGATCTATCCTCATCTTTGTTTTGCTGTAAACAATTTCTGATTTGAGTAATCTCATTCAAGCAAAAATGTTAATGTTTAATAAAACAAACGGACTATATGTCAATAGGGGAATATTCGAAAAACTTGAAAACTTTGGTTAAAAAGTAATGAAAGCATATGGATCACTTTACTGAGTTTTTGTTTTCAATAATTCATACCGATTCGAGGAGATCCAATTCATACATCTTTATGGCGATTATGTCATGGTTGTCACTCAAGTCACCAGTAGTGGCGGAAGCACCAAAGAAATAGCCCGTTGGAAGCAATATGTTCTCAACTTTGAGGCATTCTTTCCACGCGTTCTTGCCATCTAAGTCCGTTGAAACTGCAAATGAAAGGCTTAATTAGTAATAAAAATAAATAGATTATTGATAATATTTGATTATTAAATATAAATGGCAATGCAATATTTAGAAGACCATCAATTAAATAGTAAATTATTGTTGCCTCTAAAATACATTTTGTTCTTGTGAGTTTACAAATTTCGTCTGCATATGTTTGTGGTGCTTGTCAACTTTAAATAGTAGGTACTCAAAAATTACAGATTCATTTGTTTTGTTCTCTAATTTTTTTCTGTGATCCCAAAAAAAAAAAGAATTGATTTCTTTCGTTTAATCAGTTCAATTCATCATTTTCAATGCTTTGGCAGGTCATAGTATTAGCTTTATTACTTTCCTTTCAGGGCATTCAATTATATTTCAATACTAATAAAAAGAGAATTTTAATTACTGTGTTTGTGGGTCACTTAGGATGTATGTTTCACAATAAAATGAAATAAGCTTAGTTATAAATATTTATTACATAATGGCCAGGTACACTTATTGTGCACATTAGGCTATTATGCCATAAATGTATTAAGTTAAATGTCTTCATTTCAAATACCTTCTGTATTGAGGAGGCTTTTGCCCAGTAGTGGGACATATTTAGGCTATTATTTTACTTTTTTTATGTTAAATATATACATGTGTTAAAACTATAACATAATGGCCATGTATTATTGTTCTATTGTTCCATAATAATACAAAGTTATTATATTAATTTTTATTAAGTATTAATTAGTTATTAGGTACTAGTTTACTGTGGCCGCACAACACTCTTTGCTGATAAATGAATGGAGTGGTCCATTCTAGTACCAAGTACCAAGACCTCACAAAAGACTGGCGTTAAGTGAAAGCGTTAAACTGCTGCGTTTCGTGTAGTGAGTGAGGTAGCAGACGTAACGCATCTGCAACTCTACGGCTGTTGCAAAATGTCGATGGGCGGTGGTTATAATTTAGCATCCGGTGAACCGCCAGCTCGCTTGCCACCTCCTCACATAAAAAAAAGAAATAATTCCCTATGTCAAAGTCGAAGTGACAGACCTATCAGAGTGTCGTCCTTGTAGATGATTGACAGGTGCGTGTCGTGGTTGAAGTTGCGGAACTTGGCCTCGCAGCCCGCCAGCTGGGTGTGGGTGCCGTCGCGATCGTGGTCGTAGTGGAGGGTGCCGTTGTTTATCATCGCGGAGATGTAGGGGTGTTGGTGCTGTAAGGGTAAAGCGAAACGATCACGCCTGCCACGTGTAGATGCGGTACCTATCGGTGGGGTATCGAGGTGGCCGATGACGTTCAAACATCGTCTTACCAACCGCCTGGTCGCTTGCATGTGTGCACATATGAAAATGAACGGTCTTTCGGAGCGCTTTGTCGGTCAAAAAAAAGATTAAAATATTTCCACGCCCGTAGATTTTAACAGCGTCTACGCTGTCGCGCATCCTTCGCCTCTTTTCTTTCTTTTTAATAATCCGTACATTATTTGTAGTCAGTCAAGTAATCGTGTGACCCGCAGTAGCGTTGTGTTGTCAAGGAGGGTTGATGTCAGACCGTTTCTAAAAAACTATATACCTTTCAAATCAAATCAAAATCAAAATATATTTATTCACATAGAAGCTTGCGCGTTATTATGAGAGGTCAAAATTTTACATAAAAATTAATAAGTTCGTAAGTTACCACCGGTTCGGAAAGCAGTTTCTGTTGAGAAGAAACCAGCAATAAACTCAACAGTTGCTCTTTTTTAAAACGATTAGTTTAAAATATGCAATATGATAAGTACAAGTCTTACGGGAGTGAGTATCAACAGTATTTACCCCACACATTGGCGTCGTCAAGATCTTCCGCGATGGTATTTAACAGCATGAGTCACATGTCGTACAGTCCCTACGATAGGGGCAGGAGAAAAAGGAAGAGTTACGCTTATTGGATGGGCGAACTGACCGATGGTCGGAGGAAGATACTCACATTATGGGCACCGTTGTGGTTGCTGTACGTGTCGAGCACGATGGCGAGTCCGTGGAAGTAGTCCCTGCTGCCGAACACAGGGCCGGACTGCATCCTGTCGCGGACGTACCACAGCGCGAGTCCGTCCCCGAACAGGTCCTTGCCGCGGCCGTGAACCTTAAACTGCACCTGCAGCTCCCAGTTGCGCGTGTTGCACGGCTGTCAAAGGCGGCATTAATTTGAATTTCGAATCGAATATTCGAAATACGTTCTTTCTGGTTGTGCTATAACGCGGCTTGCAGGTATAAAGACTCGATAGGAGTCGTCACGCAACGGTATGCGTGCGAGTATCGACAAGTGTGACTGGAAGTCTACGCAGTTTCGATCGTTAACTGAGGGCAAATGGACTCTAAACTTCTTTGGAGTTCTTACATTTGCAGTTCTAAACCTTTTATTATTTTAACTAAAAATTAAAGTAAAGTAGAGTCTATACATTATATGTCCCACTGCTGGACAAAGGCCTCCTCTGTACAGAGGGTATTAAGGCATAGCTCAACCACGCGATCACCACCACGGATTGGCGGACGCGACATTTATTTTTTATCATTTCGAAAATATGCAGGTTTCCTCATGATGTTTTCCTTTGCCGCTGGACACGTGATAAGTCAGCACTTAAAATAAATAAGTTCATTGGTGCACCGGGAATCGAACTCAGGTTGCTCAAGTATATGGAATTAAAAGCGAGCTATAACGGCTATCATTTATTTTTTAAATGAAGGTTATAGAATGGAATAGTTTTATCTTCAAACAACATAAAGAAGGTCATAAAATAGGCAAAAAGAATCGTTTACTTAGTTAGCCAGTTGTGAAATAACAACATCCGAAAGTATCATTTCATGTACCGCAAGTAACATTTTATTTCTTTACTAAAAGTGACAAGAAACCACGTAAAGAATAAATTACATTATTGTATATTTTTATTACCTTACACGCGATACTTTAAAACGGCTGTGGAAACAAGGAGATTGTACTAGTTAATCGATTAGAATCAGTTTTCGTATACAGACAAGCTCAAATGTGTAAAACATAAACATCATTAATTGAAGTCGCGAGAGAGAACAATAACCCATTGTAACAACTATGGATAGGATAGACAACTACCTTCATAATCTGTATTGCGCTCTTAATACATTTGGCCAATAAATACCTCTATATATTTGTATTATAGGAATCTGTGACAGGCGGTGATGATGCTAAAATATTTATTTCTGCCCTCTGTGAACGTCGTGGCCTCAAGAAACTTCCTGCCATGTATAACCACATGGGAGCCTTCAAGAACAGAGCCTGTTTCTTAAAGGCTGGCAATGCAATTTATAACTTCTCGCGTGAATGTCATAATATGTCAAGATATACGAGGGCAGCATGGTCTCATATCTATAAGGTTACATGTGTTGCCTCTTTAACATTAGTATTGGGGCAACCTACCCGGCTTAGCAGGGGTGCAATGCATTACATATAAACCTTCCTCTTGAATCACTATCTAATAAAAAATACCGCATCAAGATCCGTTGTGTAGTTTTAAAGATCTAATCATACATAGGGACGACTTTCTTTTATACTATATAGTGATAGCGATATATTAGCTTCATCTGTGATAAGACATAAGAGATAAAATATTACCAATATACTTAGTAATATTTGTTTGTTTGTTTGTTTGTATATTCTTTATTGTACTAGAAGTTTGTACAAAGGCGAACTTAATGCTAAATAGCATTTTCTTCCAGCTAACCTTTGGTGGTTGAGTACAAGTTACGGGTAGTAACGCTAAAATGTTTAAATATTTCCCGTGTTAAAAGCCCGCATTCTTCGCCTCGGTACCGATAGTGTATGTTTCACATGAAAAAGACCAGTATGATATTTAACATTGAGTGATTAAACAGTGATGCAACTAAATCTTCTTTTTTTTATCACACAGAACACAAGCATGGCAGGAAAATTAGCATTATGTTTAAAAATAATTTAATCCTTGATGTGTAATTTTTAGTCAAATATTCTTGTTGTTTTTTGGAAATTTAATTGTATAGTATTGTTACGAACACATAAAGAAACTAGCGCCATCTAGCGTCAACCAGTAAACCGCTCAACGAACAAAGACAATCTAAAACCCCCTATTCAATACTAGATGGCGCTAGAAGAACTACTGTGGAACTAGTCTCGAAAACCGGGTACATTCGCGAACTTTCCAGAACCATGAACATGTTCGTGCGTGTCGGGTACGTTCCAGGAAGGAACTTTCTGGATTAGTCTGGGGTTCGTGTCGGCCCATATAAAAAGCCGCAGGGAGGCGAGCCAGGACAGTTCAGTTTGAGCTACCTTCGAGGAGACTTCGGAGCGAAAACTAGTGATCAAGAGCGATACCAGTGAAACCTACGACTGGGCTACAAAATAGGACATCGTTAGTGCTTAGTGTTTGGACCTAGTGCGTTGTGTTGGACCTAGTGCTATTGAATAAAGTCTTCAAAAGAGTCAGCAGGTCTTTCTCTCCAAATCCTTCGAACCCCTACACGTAACAACTGGTGTCAGAAGTGGGATTTGGAGATGCCATTGACTCCGAGAGAGGACTTCAAGGAGGGTGTCAGGACAAGGGCACGAGCTGCAGAGGCCACACCCACTCGGGCCCAAGCCCCGCCCACTGGCCACGCCCCACAGACTCCGCCCATTCACACACAAGCCCCGCCCACTCGGGCACAAGCCCCGCCCACTTTGGCACTGGCCCCGCCCACTCGGGCTGAGGCCGCGCCCCCCTTTGGCGCAGGCACCGCCCACTGACTCCACCCACCGGGCCACGGCCACTGGCGCCGCCCACCTTGCCACGCCCACCAGCGGCACCGTGACCTCTGCAGCCCCTGAAGTGGCTCTTCAATTGGGAAGTTTAATTGAACTAATGGAGCTGCAAAGGGCTGAAATTCAAGCAATGAAGGAATCGCAAGAACGCAAGGTCAGCGCTTTGCAAGAGTTTCAAAAGGCTGAAATCAGAGCGATTCGAGAATCACAAGAGCAACAAAAAGACCTCCAAGAAAAAGCGCTTTGGGCTATAAATGATGTTAGTAACACGGTGATTAAGCTTCGAAAAGATGTCGACGTAGTGGAAGAACGAGTTACCGGGTTAGGATTGGATGTTGAAAATGTGAAAACCGGCCTCACTGAACTACAGAAGAAAGTAGTGCGCCTTGAAACCACGGGAGTTGCGATGTCTAGTGGCACTACTGGAGTGGCACAAGGACCGAGAGTGAAAGTGCCGCCATACGACGGCACTACTTCTTGGCACGCTTATCGTCGGCAATTCCAGACTGTTGCTACTGCCAACGGATGGACGGAAGAGCAATGCCTGACCGCTCTCACTGTTGCGCTTAGAGGGCAAGCTTTGTCTGTCCTGGAAGCACTGCCACATACAGGAAATGGGTTCCAAGACCTGATGGAGGCACTTGAATCCAGATACGGGGAGCGACAACTGGAGCACGCGTTCCGTGCCCAACTGCGTGACCGAGTCCAACGCTCAGGAGAAGGACTACAACAATGGGCGTTGGAAATTGAAAAACTCGTCAGGAAGGCACACCCAGGAGCCGACACTAAGATGGTAGACACGAACATTGTTCAAGCATTTGTGGACGGAATCAAGGACCTGGAGGTCAGAGCTGCAGTGAGGCTTCGTCACCATACCTCGCTAAAGGAGGAATTGGCCCACGATTTGGAGGTCGAGGCTGTTCGCTATGATGTGCGGCAGACCCATAAGATCCGCGTGGTGTCTGAGGAAGTCAAGGAGGTTAAGGCTCCTACGAAGAGAAGTTCTGGAGCCATGTGCTACAAGTGTGGCGAGTGGGGCCATCTTCAGCTCAACTGCCCGCAGAAGGAGACCCAGATGGCAAGGATGAAATGGATCGAGGAACAAATAGCGGAGCTGAAGAAGCGAGAGGCTTCGTCCCCTGCCCGGGATCAGGGAAACTAATAAAAGCCAGTACTAAGGGGCGAGTACTGGCTGACGCGGAGGAAGCCCCGATAACTGTTATCTCCCAGGCATGCAGCGGGAATAGTCTTGCGATCCAGGGGACTATTAACGGGACGGATTGCAAAATGACTCTAGACACAGGAGCCTCTAGAACAGTCTAGTGAACCCAAAGCTGGTAAAAGCAGCAAGGGGACTCGAGAGGAGAATTAACTGCCGGCTTCTTACTGCCTCCGGTCAGCCAATACCCTTCCTGGGGGAAATGTCAGTCACGATGCATGTAGGGGGGTCCTCATACTCTTATAACGTCATCGTGGCTGAGATTATGGATGATTGCATCTTGGGTTTGAATTTCATGAAGAAACACAACTGTAGAGTTAATGTCGCTCACGGAATTTTCAAATGTGGTGAAGAAGAAATCTTCATTCTTGGAGGCACCTGCGGGAAAGTCGCATGTGTAAAGAAAGTCATTATACCTGGACGAGCGGAAGCCCAGGTGCTGGTGAAACTGCCGCCAGCTGGAAAGAAAATGTCAAACAGATGCGTGTTGATCGAAGGCACTCCTACCAAGACATCGGCGCAAAAACTAATGACGGCGAGAACCCTTGTTAGTGGAAAGCAGTAACGCTGTGGTCAAGGTTTTGAACCTTGGTGATCGCGAGGTCTGCTTGAACAAAGGTGACGTCATTGGAAAGTGCGAGGAAGTTGTCTGGATGAAAAAGTGTAGTTCGGTTGCAGGCGTAGACTCGGCAAACAGCAACAACTACGGATTAGTGACTGAGCTACTCGATGACTGCAAGAGTAATCTGACTTATTTGCAGGGCATGAAAGCTAGGAAGTTTTTACAGCACTACGCGAATATCTTCTCCAGTCAAGAAGGAGACCTTGGAAGAACTTCGATGGTTCAGCACAGGATAGATACCGGAAGCGAAAGACCAATTCCAACGAGCAAGACGGATACCAATTGCAAGGGAAAAATAAGTTGAAGGCCTTTTGGAGGACATGAGAAGGAATAAGATTATTGAACCGTCTACAAGTCCGTGGTGCTCACCTGTTGTGTTAGTGAAGAAGAAAGATGGTAGCACGGGATTTTGTGTGGACTATAGGCGTCTCAATGATGTCACTAAGAAGGACAGTTACCCGTTACCTCGAATCGACGACACTTTGGATACCTTAAGTGGCATGAAATGGTTCTCGACCCTAGACCTGAAATCTG